AAAAATCGATGGGCGCCAGCAAACGGAAACGCATGCTTACAAGGTACTACCCGATTAACCATTGATGTAATTGTCGGGTTAAGACAATATAACTCCTTAAAAAATGTTCTTCCAATGGGTTGACCAAACATCTCATGTAGCTTTCGATGATCTTGTCCTATGGAGCTGTTGAGGGGAAGGGAAAGATCCAACCATCTTTCCCCCGTAAAGTGCACGTAGGTTTGGCCCAAAAAGTCAACCCGGCCAGCCTTGAACGTTTTTTCCGAAGGATGAAGGGACAAACTGGCAAAATGAAATGCCACGCTTTTTTTAGGTTTAATTTCTCGTTTTCTTTCTTTCAACTGCATTTGCTTACATCTACATGAGCATGTGCTTGCTATAATTCATATATCACATGGACTTTGTATGGTTTTGTAAACCTAATTGAAAATTTTCTTTCTTAAATCACTTCTTTTTTTTAAAACATGAAGGTAAAACTCAAATCTCACATTTTTAGGAGGATGATTTTGACCGCAAGAACTTCTCATTCTCTCTTTTAAGTTTTAAACCAATAAAATCAAAGCTATTTCAAGTTGCTTTCTTTAGATTAATTTTTATGTTAAATATGCTATAAATACCCCCAATACTCTTAATGGGTTTTATCACTCATGTATTATGATTGAATTTGTTCTCTTTTTTTTATGCGGTAAATTTATATCAATTAAAATCTATAATTTGAAGTAAATATTCTTAATAATGGCAATTCAATGAAAACAATAAAAAATTCACAATGTTGATAACGAAAGAATACGTGTTAAGAAAAAAACTAACCTTTTATTAAGTACAAATTTAACTAAATCTTAATTATTTAATTAATTAAGAGGCTAATCCTGGAAGGATCCACCACACACATGCCTCTTGAAGTGAGTCTTAGGATATTCCAAAGTCTAAGCTCTAAATTAATACCTAAACAATTTTTAAAAACAGCGAATTATGGAAGCAGGCGTGCTTTCAGCTCAACTTTGGAGTCACTTCCACCTCCTAAAACCATATAATTATTGCATCCTCCACAGTCATCCTCCCATGCGCGTTCCGTGCCCAAGATTCATTGTTAAGGGAGACCGAAAAACTATCTATCTCTGGGCGATGGGAATCTGCGTATCCGTTCAATCTCCGGAGATTCATCAGGCCGACTACAGTCAGGAAGAAAATACTCTATACTTTGCACAGAACGCCGCCAACGACGAAAATCGGAAACTTGGCTCTCTCTGGTCTAAGCAGGGGAGCAAAGGGCTCAACCAAGATGCTGCCATTCTTTATCAGGTTCGTTAATTTCTTCATCGTCATGAATCGTTTACTTTGTGAATTGTTTGTATTTTCCCAATTCAAAACTCTTCTCCTCCTTTCTTCTTGAAGGATTATGGCTTTGAAGATGGAGTCTTTTGTGGAGTTTTCGATGGTCATGGAAAGAACGGTCACTTCGTGAGCAAGATGGTAAGAAATCAGTTACCATCACTGTTGCTTAGCCAGAAAACTTCTATGGAAATGATTGGCCGGGGTCGGGTGGAGAAACTCGACGGGGAATCGATGCATAGCCTGAATGTTCTTCAGTGGGGAGAGGCATGTGTAAGCGCCTTCAAAGTGATGGACAAGGAGATCAAGCTTCAAGAGAATTTGGACTGCTCTTGCAGCGGAACCACCGCCGTTGTTGTCGTCCGTGAGGTACTGTAAAGAAATTGCTTCATCGGATTTTACAGTTAGCATTTGGTACGAGAATTCAGAACAAATTTCCTCAAATTTTATGATTTTCTTCCGAACAGGGAGAAGATCTGATTATCGCAAATCTTGGAGATTCAAGGGCCGTTTTAGGAACAATGACGGAGAATGGAATCATGGCGATTCAGTTAACCACGGACTTGAAACCTGGTTTACCAGGTAAGAACTGTTGGATCTAATCAGAGGATTATTTAGGGAAGGTTTTTTCTAATTAAGTCGATTGCGATTTTGATGCAGGCGAAGCAAATCGGATTAGGAAGTGCAATGGTAGGGTGATCACTTTGAAGGAAGAACCGCATATTCAGCGGGTATGGCTGCCGGACGAGGACTCTCCCGGACTGGCCATGTCAAGAGCCTTCGGCGACTTCCTTCTCAAGAACCACGGTGTTATTGCAATCCCAGATGTCTCCCACCGCCGGCTGAGTCCCGATGATCAGTTCATCGTGCTAGCAACTGATGGGGTAAGTTGACTAAATACTATCCTTCTTGGCTGTTTCTGAGATGTAATTAACATACGAGAACTTAAACTTAATGGGGTTGGAATTCAGGTGTGGGATATGCTCAGCAACGAGCAGGTGGTGTCTATGGTGTGTGGGGCTGATAGCCAGCAAGCCGCAGCAAAAGCAGTGGTCGAGTCAGCTAATGCTGCATGGAAGAGGAGATTTCCGACTTCAAGAATGGACGATTGCACGGCAGTTTGTCTCTTCTTCCATAAGAGGCAACCACAAAGCTTCCCACCAGTGTGGACATGATCATTAGAATAGCTGGTTCCTAACTGGGCAGCGTTTCTGTGTATATTTTCTTGTACCAGTAATCTGCTACATTACATATCAATTAGTCACATAAAAAACCCAAACCACAGTTACTTTCAACTGGTGACCTTATGCATCATCGATTCATTGCCTAAGATGACAATTCAAATGATCCCCACACTCCAACCTAGTGGTTAAGACCCTTGGTTAGTGGGGATTACCTTCCGTGGGTTGCGTTTTCAAGCCCCATAGATCCCCTTGGCCCAATCCCCATATGCTTAAATATGAAGTAATTTGCTTTCATTCATTAAAGAGAGAGAGGCGTTTTCAAGCCCCATAGATCCCCTTTGCCCAATCCCCATATGCTTAAATATGAAGTAATTTGCTTTCATTCATTCATTCATTCATTCTTTCATTCATGAGAGAGCGAGAGAGAGAGAGAGAGAGAGAGAGAATTCAAATGAGCATACCATGAGTTCATGAAACCACAAATTCTATCGTATGCATCATGCTTCTTCCTCAGTTGGGATTGTAGGCTGAAAAGTTATCTCAACTCTGTACTGGAAGAGTATTTTGTTAGAAATAGCAACTAATAAACTTGGATTATCCTCTTTGCTTTTCCATTTTCTTTTCATTTTTCCTGGGGCTGGAGGTGATTTGTTCTGCAGCCTTCTCAACAATAAACATGTAGCTGCACTTCAGTGCTTGCAAAAATGACACTGAGAAACGCCAATTCCCCCAAGGATCAAACTGAATCAGCTTTTGTATCCTCTCCAAAAAGGTCATCATATGAGACTGGAACCCTAATCCTCTCATTGAACAGATTTGCATTTTCCTCTAGTGGTTGACTATTCAGGTTGACTTTGAGGTGTGAACTGGGAATCATCTTGAACACCGGCTGAAACTCCGCCTGTTGGTTGAAGACCAGTATCTCCAAAGAGGCCCTCTTTATTCAGTGCTTGCCTTGTGTTTTTGTTGCTTAAATTGCTTCTGCAATTTTACACATAATGTGTTTAGATAACTTGAACAATAAAGGGCACAGAATGTGGCTAACTAAAACAGTATCAAGACTGGATTAAGTACACACCTCAAATTCCTTTGCCTTTTTCATTATTTCTATATAAGCTGCTGGTTCTTGTGCTCTGATTATGTTCCACAATATGCCATCACCAGTTTGATTACGTCTCCCATCAGCAGTTGTCTGACCTCCACAAACCTGAACTGCATCCACCTGAAACCTCAAATCAACATTTCATTATCACAACGATTCCTCAATAAGTAAAAATAATATCTATTTGTTTGTGTGCATGCACACGTGTGTATCAAAAAACTGATTGAGAAAGACCACCATCCCTTTCCAATTCTTATCATACCATTGATCAACTGGAAAGCTAAACATCCATTTTTTACTGGTAAAATTTACATTTTAATACAAAATTCCAGACTTCTATGTATGGCAAAAAATTTTTTTTTTAATAATTTAGCAATTAAAATTGGAAATATCTGTCAAAAAAATTCTTGTATGCTAGCTGAGTGATTAAAGTGAAGGAGATTAAAAAAACAAGAAACAACCTACACCTAAAGGAATGATGAATTTGTAAGTCTATGCTCATAACACAGAATTTTGAAGTAGCAAATGCAAATGGCTTCTGCAAGAAAAATCTGGAATGGTAGGGAAAACATCATAGGTCGTTAGATATTAAGCACCAAAAGGGTTTTAAGAGAGTGGCAAGCAGCCTAGGCTGATTGAACCCAATTTCCCACTTTTCCTTAACAACCAAGTAGACATTACTCATGCTTGCCAAAGAGAACTTTATTCTAAAGATACTATTCTTAATGGGGAAGAAGATGTAGATGGATAAAAGACAAGCTCAGGTCACAATCAGAAGTTGAACATACCCAAAGCAAAATGACAGCAAAAAGAAGGATAGACATTAGCAGAATTCTCAAGGGTGTCCAAACAAGTATCCACAATAAATCCCATACCGTATGGAGTAATATACTGACCTCTGAATGAGAAAAGTCCTCAACAAACTAAATCCTAGCTAAGAAGTGTGCTATGGGCACAAAAATGTAAGTAGAAGCTTCCTAGAAGAGGACATTGTTTAACAAAGGTTGCTGCAGACCCTGTTGCTATCTGTCACTTACATTTACTGATGAGGATGAATTAATCCCGATGCAAGGAAGCCTGGTAAAACATAATTGACTTCAAACATTAATATCTTTATTAACAATGACTGTCACCCATATTTAGTATAGATAGAATAGAAGGAATAAATACATACAGATAGAAATTAAACAATCAATTCACACCAGTCAACATTACACCACAGGGAAGGGGATACAATACCTCTCCGACGAGATCACTCAATGCAGAAATCCCCAGACAGCCCACAGCAGTGCACACCATGTACGACTTCTTCTCCCTCAGACGCCTGCATGTAAGTAGCGCAAATCTGCAAACAATAAGTCATAAAAGCGTCAGAACGTCCAAAAAAGAAACAATGTTCACTCTATAGAAAGCATACAACTTTTTTCTTAACATATCAAAAAGCCAATTTCAACAGAAAACTACCTGTTTATGTCTATGGGGTTTTGCTCGGAAACGTTCCTCTTTCTCTTGCTCCTCTTCTTGTTTGCCGGTGCCTCAACGGATACATCTCCGCCGCCGCATTTTCCGACATCAGTTTGAGAAGCGTCGTGCTCCAACAACTCTCCTTCCTCTGCATCAAGCATCTCAATATCTTCAATATCCTCATCGACGTTTGCACCCAAAATGCTCTGTCCTTCCTCCATCGCCGCGCCGGAATTCCGTTCGGAAAAAACCTCTCGAGTCTTAAAAGAGGAACAGAAAGTCGTCACCTCACCGAGTTCATTTTTGCACTACCAGGGATAGGATTTCTTTTCACCTATTGGCAAACGGGTATGAGTGGGCTTGGCCGCTTTGGGCTCGGCCACTTTGGGCTCACCCAATATATACGTAAAACCATCGGGTACTCGAAAATCGAAAAATCTCTCAGCCAAGATTGGGTTCACTTCAGTCTGGACCCAAGATTATACATGTACCGTGTTTTATCCTAACCGTTGAACTACAAATACATTTAAAAAAAAAAAAAAAAACCACCCTTAAGATTCGTCCCCCAAAAAAAGAATATAATAAACAAAAATTTATCA